CACTTAAGTCTATAGAAGTAGTTTTCTTTTGCTCACAGATGTTTATAGTCTCTAAAATGTTCCTTGGCAACTCGCCAAAATCTTGAAAGGCGATGAAAGTTGTAATAGATTTTTTGTAAGATCGTAATTAAATCGCTTTTACAGATCTTTCGCCAAGTTCGTGACCAGAGAGCGGAGACCACTGGTCCATGTGGTCTGCCGGGCATCGAACCTCGTCTTCAGTGCTCTGCGTTTGCTTTGTTACGGCTTTCCAAAGCTTGTGAAGTGCAAAAACTATGAACACGCTATATATTCATCATTATAGATATTTTGTTACATTTTTTTAACAAACTCAGTGGCCAAAGAATAGACCGTCATTAAAATTGTAATTAAATAAATTGTTGCTAGAACGTCACTGCTTTTTATTTCAAAATATTTTTTCGCACAAACTCAAGTAGAACAATGTGGTAATTACTCAACACGAATAAGTAGTTTCTGATTGCGTATAGGTATGTCTTTTGTTTCAGCGACGTATTGATGAATCAATTAGCACTCCCTAAAGTCAAATTACCGAAAGTTTGTACAAGTTGTTAGAGATTAGATGGCACGAATAATTAAACTTCATTAATTGAATATTAGAGTGTGCTGTAATATACATTTGAGTATACACGAGTATCATGTATATAGGAATTAAACTTTCAGTAAGTACAAGTATGTATTTTAGTATAAAACTTTACACAAATTGCTTTCTTAGTAAAGACAGGCCTGTTCATCTCCGCGAGTTTACATCGAAACCAAAACACGCACGATGGCCCACCTACAGGATACTATTCGACAAGGCCTCACATACGAGCGAACATTGACTCACGCACGCGTATTCTTGTGTATGATGGAAGAAAATAAAGAAAATGGTGTACTAAATACTGTGCAGTATTTAACTGCCTAAATAATAATAAAAACACAGAATGTACTTTTTTAAGTTGCCTCAAGACACTGAGAGGTAAATAAGTAGTTAATATTATTCATGATAATTCATGCTAAATCATGTATTTCCTCCGCCATTTTCCGCAGTTTGGCACCTCACGTCACATCATTTTACCGAAGTCAGCCCTATAGCTTCGGCGCAGTGCCGATCACTGACGTTTGTCAACAAAATGGTGCTTGACTCTTCAGACAGGCTAAATTACACCATATTGTTAATGACATTGAGCATACATTTTTTAAATACCTTTGCGAAGTAAAACTTCTGTACGTAGTACTTATTATTATTCTGTGGAAAAGATAAGGTAAATTGTTTTTACACACAAATTGACAGTCACGAGTTGATCTTTTAAAATCTTCGAATACGTTCTATAGTATAATATAAACCTTAAAAAAAACAAAATCTTATTCACCATTAGTTTTTTTTATTTAAAGAACGGAAAGCCACAATTTTATTATTTTCAATCTTATTTGCTGAATTAAAGTAACATTAGCAATAAGTATAACTGTTGTCTCATAAAAAGAAACAGCACAGGGGCACAATAGAGGCATTTAAATACGTGATATTTGGCTGGAATATCGTTTGCGTATATTGCGGTAGTAAGATTCCCCAACGATTCAATATCTGCAGCGGGCGCAATGCAATAAAAAAGTTATGAACTTGGCCTAAACGAATGTTGATATCGAGTAGGACTTTTATTTGAGTCAAGCCTAATTAGTTCCAGTAATATTGTGCCAGTTTAATGTTAATTCAGTTTAAGGTTTGTCAAGATATCAACCAACAGTATAAGGAATAGGGTGAACTCATTTAACTTCGTGACAAAGGCATTTGAGTACGCAAATGTACTAGTACCTAATGTTGACTGCAGGTAAGTAGGTACTTACGAAGTTTCAAAAGAGAAAGCTGATTACCCTTGCTGTTAACGATAACTTATCAGTTCAGATATAACTTAACAGATCAGTTTTCAATATGAGGTCCGATGGTAGGTACTTTATATCTTTTCAATACCTTTTCATAGAAGAACTGAAGAAGTGCACATGTTCTTAAGAATGCTTAATAGTCCATAGTAAAAGAGGTAAACCATAATTGGTAAAACATAAGCTTAATACTTCAAACAACGCAGGAGGCCTGTGTCTAAAAGGCTGTGAAGTAATTGATTACTATTCATTATAATTATTTAGTACCTAATGACGAAGAGTTTGTTTGTTTGTTTACTTGAACGCGCTAATCTCCGGAACTTCTAGTCCGATTTGAAAAATTCTTTCAGTGTTAGATAGCCCATTTATCGAGGAAGGCTATAGGCTATACGACGTCACGCTACGATCAATAGGAGCAGAGCAACAATGAAAAATGTTGCGAAAACGGGTTTTCACGCGTACGAAGTCGCGGGTACAGCTAGTTTATTATAAACAGTGGCTTAACACCAATACCCTACAATTTAAAATGTTATATTATTTGACTCAAATATGGTTGAAAATTCATTTTTCATTTTTTCTGGTTAAATCATTTTCTCTTTCTCATTATTCGAAATTACATCTAGTCCAGTCAAATTAGACATGAACCCTGCATTAATTCGCATACAGCTGAAAATTGGTACGCATGTTCGGAGCACCATTATGAATTAACTGTGAAAAGTCCCCATCGATCCGACATGTGCTAAAAAAAAATTCAAGGTCAAACTTAAAAAATACGAGTTTTTGAGATTTTCAGCTAAACGGTAACTTTTATCACAAAAATATGTATGACAAGGTTTAAGATCATACTATTATCTATCAAAATTGTCTATACACTTTCTCCTAAGAGTCAGTGTTTCTGAGATGTGATGATCAGAAGAGTCAAAAAAGTATTTTCTTCATAACGGTCTTGCACATAAATCCAATGTGATATCGCCTCGTGCCTCGACTCAGCATTGTATCATGATGTGTTGTCGACGTCGAATATAAAATAATAAACCTTAATGTCGTCTGTCATCTTTAATTATCGAAAAATGGTTGCAACTTTGACGAAGGACTGCACCGTGAGTTTCTAAGATACGAAGTTTTCGTGTTTATTATGTTTAAGAGCTCTTATATGCACACGTCACTACTCTACTTCTAACTCTATGGTCACTCTTTTAGCCCGACCAAGTTAGACAGTCCAGGTTATAATAATTCGCATAGAGCTGAAAATTTGTGTGAATGTTGAGAACACCATCCTAAATGAAATGTCAAAAGTCCCCGACGATCCGTCATTTAAAAAAAAAGTTTTCGAAGTCCCAAGTTTTTTGCATTTTTTGGCCAAGTAGTAAACTAATCATAAAAATAGATAAAAAATAATAGTAGATCATAAAATTATCTATCAAAATTATCTTTGCCCCTTTTTCCTAAGAGTCACCGATTATGAGGTAGAACGAATCAAAAAGTTAGTTAAGATGTTCTCGTTACATGCACATGTTTCCACAATACCTATGATGGTTATTTGGCGCATTTTTTTTACCAGGTTTCCCCAGTAGGCCTTTTTTAAGATGTATTTGTTATCCTGTTCAATTAAAAACTATTTTAATAGAGTTGAAGTTGTGGACTCGTGGAGTAGTTAACAGAATGCGAATTCTTCAACATTTTGCATCGTTACCACATAAACGGTGACTCTTAGGAAAAAGGGGCAAAGACACTTTTAATAGATAATTTTATGATCTACTACTATTTCTTATCATTTCTTATGATAAGTTTACTGTTTGGCGGAAAAATGCAAAAAACTTGGACTACGTAAATTTTTTTTTCAAATGACGGATCGTTGGGGACTTTTGACATTTCATTAAGGATGGTGTTCTCAACATTCACACAAATTTTCAGCTCTATGCGAATTATTATAACCTGGATTTTCTGACTTGACCGGGCTAAAAGAGTGACCATAGAGTTACAAGTAGAGTAGTGACGTGTGCATATAGGAGCTCTTAAACCTAACAGACACGAAAACTTCGTATCTTAGAAACTCACGGTGCAGTCCTTCGTCAAAGTTGCACCCATTTTTCGATAATTAAAGATGACAGACGACATTGAGGTTGATCATTTTATATTCGACGTCGACAACACATCATGATACAATGCTCAGTCGAGGCACGAGGCGATATCACATTGAATTTATGTGTAAGACCGTTATGAAGAAAACACTTTTTTGACTCTTCGGATCATCGAATCTCAGAAACGCTGACTATTAGGAGAAATTGTATAGACAATTTTGATAGATAATTGTATGGTCTTAAACCTTGTCATACATATTTTTGTGATAAAACTTACCGTTTAGCTAAAAATCTCAAAAACCCGTATTTTTTAACTTTTGACATAGAATTTTTTTTTTAGCACATGTCGGATCGATGGGGACTTTTCACAGTTAATTCATAAATGGTGCTCCGAACACTCGTACCAATTTTCAGCTGTATGCGAATTATTGCAGGGTTCATGTCTATTTTGACTGGACTAATCCTCACAAAATGGACGTTAATATCGCAAAGGTAACATTAAGATATTACATTTTAAAAATTAAATATCCACCGAACCTCGAGTTCAACCAACTTTTAGAGTTCCCTCTCTCCAGGGAATTTTCCTGTTTTGACATATTATTATCAATTACCTTCCACAAAATGTGTTTTTATATTAGGGTACACGTTCCAAAAATATGAGCTAGCTAAGTGTTTTAGTTGGCATGCCGAACATTTTACAATTTGACTCAGAAATCGATTTCAAAATAATTTTGTGTGACATTTTATAAATAAAAAGTAGTTAATAGCTTTATCTCTCAATGATTGTAATGTAGGTAGAGTGTAAAAAAATGACAGCCTATAAAGGTTCGGTCAAACCATCACCATAGCCATTAGCCATCATGCATGCTGGCTGCAGTCGTTTGATTTGGCCAAACCTTGAGATTTTTACTTGATATCAACCGTTGAATTGTTCTGATATAACGTGATGTAATTTAAATTTTGCCCGTAAAAATAGAGCATTATATTTCTGACCAGTGTATTACATGGATGTTTTCTTGAAGGAAATTAAAATACTTTTGTACGTACATCAATAAACTTTATTTACACATATTTATATTTTTACACGCAGAATACAATAAACATGAGTAATTACAATGGATATAATATGTGTAATCGTGTCTGGTGGAGGCCTAGCAGTAGGTCCGGATCACCTCCGTAGTGCATGACTTGAGGCAGCACTCGTCCACGAGGCCTCGCTTGTGGCGCCCCCAACGCGCGCCCAGGGCGTCGCGTCGCCCGCCCCAGAGCCAGCCCTGGTCGTCCACTGTGAAATAAAAGGAAGGATTAAAGTGGAGGTAATTAAACATTACTGTTTGTTACTTACAATTAAGTAGGTCCGTAAATAAGGACTCTGCATTTGATATTTAACAAGAAACCGGTTACCTATCTCTATTCTCTGTGCATAATGTGCGATGGTCTTTCTTTGACGAACCAAAGCTGTGTTTAAAGTTTGGTAATATTCGCTATGGTGTTTGTACAAATATGATAAGTAGCATAGGTACTTAGTAATATTTAACAGTTTTCTCTAGTAAAGAGTTTTCTCTACTGATGCTATTGAATTAAAAGCTTGATTCAGTATGATGAATCTCTCCTTTGCACTAAGTAGTTCTCAAAAAAGGCAGGAGTTTATTAGAAACATGTAAATTGAAGCATAATGCATGTTATTATTATAATGGCATACTCACATGGTTCCAGTTGGTCCACGCTTCTCTTGAACATGTATTCAGAGCCAAAGCATAGAAGCACCCTGGCCCGCGCCAGTTCTCGCCCACACAGCATCACCTTCTGCTCCTCGCCTGCCGCCGAGAGAACCACCACAGCCAGGGTGACCAGGACAAACGACTTCATCTTGCCAGGGTAACGTATGGTCTGAAATATCAAATACAAAAAGTATTTTTGGCTTGTGAGAATTCTACTGCGTATTCGGTTTCACATTTTAAACAATATCAATTCTACGGTATAACTTTTTTATAAATTCATTAATTGAGGCGTGGGATTTACAATTGGGCTGAGTGCCATAAATTGTAGGCACTTTACACCTTCCATAAGGAATGACAGTCTTTTAACACCTTCGAAAAGCAAAAACTTGATTTTGCTTCTTTGGCACTTAGCCCAATAGTGAATTCCACGCCTCAATTATTATAGCAGTTTTACACACCATTCCAACAGATATTTAGTAACAATTTAAAGGATTTTGTAACTCTTTTAAGCTGTTAAAATTGGCATGGCTTAAGTAAATCAAAAACTTTAACTTACCAAGTTGAGAAAGCAGGAGATGCGTTGTGGTCTTGCGAAATATTGAAAATACATGCAAATTTCAGATTGACTCATCTTATATAGCGTCCCGGGGGTGAAGAGGCATGAATCACATTAGATGAGCGGGCGATTAGTGCTCAAAGCTAATGCACACCCTTTAGAAAACCCACCCTTAATTTGACAATAACAAATTACAATAATCGCCACAAGATTAGTAGCATTGTTTGCTGTCTTTTATGATCCGTCGTGTTTGTATCTTTATCAATGTTTTGTGTAAATATTTTTAATTATGTGTTTTCCGCTAAAGCTTATCAACATGCTTATCCATTTTGAATAATAATCTCTATCCAACGTGTTAGTTAAACATAGATGTTTCTACCTGTAACAGGTAAATAGTCCAAAAATAGAATATCGAGTGGGTTTGGACACTAATCTTTAGTGTCATTAATTTATTCTCCACGTAAATGAACGTCATGCTCTCATTTTGTTCTTCACGTATCACTGGTTACATTAAGTGAGTTATAAAATAAGTTTCTAGAGAGCACTTCGCAAAAATAACTTCGTATTTAAAAGTCATTTGGTTCGTGAAATAAATGTTTTATGTCCTCAAGACAGATGAAATGGAAATTACTTCTGTGAAGTACAATTTTCTGTTCGTGATGTCTGGATAGTCAGAGGTGAGCTGAACTACGTAGATGAATAATAAATTGAACAAAACATAGGTACCTACATCACGCGAGTTCAGGCGAAATGTTGCTTATGAATTAGTTAACCCGCTTTGATTGATGCCTGTTTCCAAATAAACAGTTGCTGGATGTATTTTTTGGTTTCTTACGCCCGTATTCACAAACATTACTCGGCCATTCTCAGATGAGCTAGTTTTTGCGTGTCCGGGCTGTTAAATCCTTAAAAATGACAAATTAGACACATGCAAGTATTTTTATATGTTACTTAACAACCCTGTCCAGTTGTGCATTAAATCATAGGCCTCTATTTTAAGTATTTGTGACTTAATTAATTTCATGAACCTCTGTTCTCTAATTACCGTTACGCGTCCGCACACCGACTTAATGTTAAAAGTTGGCTGTAATTTTTAAGTCGTATAGATTTGGTTCACTCCATTCAATATTTTAAAGAGTACAAAAGATTGTCTTATGCATAGCAAAATATCTATTCAATAGAACCATTCTGTAAATAATTAGAATTAAAAAACTGCTTGTCCGAGCGAAAGTCCTAATTCCCGTGACGTTTTCTATTTTTGGGCACAAAAGCCTAAATAAGAATACTTGACACATCATTGACGCGCGTGGCGCGAGCCCTTAGTTAGTTCTAAGGCCTGTTAGCAAGTAGACGTCTATTGCGTTGGCGTACCGTCGATGAATTGCGTAAGAGTATAATTACCATATCTCTGGTTTTCAATTTTTCTATTTACCATGTCCTTATTTTTATACTCGATTTTTGAAGGTAGATCCACGTTGTTAATTTAAATAGAATCAGTACTTTGGCCTTTATACGTTGTAGTAAGACAGTATTTGCATACGCTGCAGATTTTGGAAATTTTCAAGAAAAACTATCGTTTTATAATTTCCATGTACTAATTACCATATATTTATAATCACCGTTGTATGAAATTATTACCTACAAATTGCACTCACGATTGAATAAGTATGATATATTATAAAAAAAAAATAAAACCGACTCCAAAAAACTAACACTAAAAAGTAGAAAAATAATTAGTAGGTAATTATTTTTCTACTTTTTAGTGTTAGTTTTTTGGAGTCGGTTTTTTTTTTTATAAAAATTAACTTATTTCTTGCTTTTTAGTTAACTAATTATTACCTTGATGTTACCACTGAAGGTAGGCAGTACATTGAGACTATATTCTTCATGTCAAGTGTAAAATAATATTCCCTACAAAATACAGGTTATCATATCGGCAACCTCAAAAGACCTTAAACCGTCAGCCTACCTTAAAAACATGAAATAATACCACTGTGGGTCTAATTGTACCTATAATATTTAAAAAATTATCCTCCAACTCCTAAGCGTTAAGGAGTTGTACCTACCATGACCAGTTCATCATGATGAGATGATGACTATCTGATGCAAACACTTGAATAAATTTAGAAACTATAGTTATCTATAAAATTAAAAGAATTATCCTCCAACTCCCAATTAAGGAGTTGTACCTTCTATCATCAGCTCATCAATATGAGGTGATGATTTCCAGGAGCAAATACTTGAATAAATTAAGAAAAAGTTTGAAAAACGATATACGTGCCTATAAAATTTGAGGGTTGCCCTCGATTTCCCTAGGATCCCATCATCAGATCCTGACTTGGTGACAATGGGACCACCTCAGAAGTGTACCCTATCGAACAAAAAAAAATTTTTGAAAATCGGTCCACAATTGACGGAGTAATCGGTGAACATACATAGAAAACCTCCTTTTTTGAAGTCGGTTAAAAATATGAAAAAATACCTAGACTTTCGCATAACATCTTTACGGACTTTTCTTCCAGTCTGATATTAAAATTTTGAAAAGATTTCATTAGAGTTACCTCGAAATAGATTCGATTTCATGATGAATGTTCAGCTTCAGTTGCTGCATGGTTGTTGGATTATAGAGTATATTTTAACTCTTAAGGTAACCCCACAAAAAGAAGTTAGCTGGAATGAAATCGGGGCTTCTTGATGGCCAGGAGATGTCACCCCTGCGTGAAACGTGTCTCGTACCAGATACTTATTTTTACTATATTTACATGTTAAATCATTAATTAATTCTAATCTAATACCATTAAAATTTATCCATATTACATTTGCCCTAAGAAGATGAGATTGTCCAACAGTAACACTTACCTGGCGTGATCACATTAAGAACAAAAGTGAACAAATCAACAGACAATGGGACTTTTCAAGACAAGAGTGTAAAGGCACTTTGTACCATCCTAGAATGCATCATAACTGCTTTGTTATGCATAGAAAAAATTTCGTGATATGCAATGGATACTGGGCAGAAGAGGCTTGGAGAACAAACTATATACAAATGCACCTTAAGACCCATGTAGACATATGGCATCGACTTAGCCTCGCAAATGTAGAAATACTTTAACGTTTTCAAAATAAAGTATTAAAAATTTTGAGCTGTGCACCTTGGTTTACAAAGTCCACTGAAGTGATACCAAACGTCAAAGAGGGTGTAGAAAATTCCTGTAAAGCTCACAAACAAAGACTAGACCGTCATGAAATCCATTTGCTGCATCCCTTCTAAATTCTAAGAATTCTGCATTCAGGCTCAGGAGAAAGCGAATAGTATCAATCTGAAAAGTTATTGTAAAAGAATCGAGGTGACAAATCACGGGATATGCAGAGCTGGAACTCTGTCATTATTACAAATTCAATTTAATCTGATAAATGGGTGATGGCTGATCGCAGATAGATTAAAAAGAGGAAAAATCACTTATATCATTAATTATATAAGTGATTCAATTCAATACAACATACATCTGTTTCCGCAATTTATTACACCGATCTTGTCGCGACAAGGAAAAATTTCCGTGCTTTTAAGCGATTTTGTGAAAAATATTATTGGCAGGTAGTTGCTAATTGCTCATAAGATAGGCCCCCTTAATTTAATTTATTGTCCGTGGTGCATAATCTTTTTCTTAAAGGTTTTAAACCTTTGTTTGTCACCTGTCATCCGCTTTGCAATGGAGGGAAGTCGAACCTTAATTTCGAACTCCTCCTATGTTCTTCTGATTAATTTCGTTGCGGGTCCAATGACAGTTTAACTTTCCCCCGGGACAAACTTGACCTTCATTGGTTGGGTTTTTGTGGCGGTCAAGCTGTAGATCCTAGCTACACAGGAGTTGCAGTGGTGGGAACGAGAGGTGGGAATAGTCCCGTATATCATTAATTAATTATGCATTAATGGATCAGGAGATCTCACAAATTAGACCGATATATCCGAAAAGTCTAATTTGTGAGATCTCCTGATCCATTATCTGTACGTTAAATCGTTTGTACCACATTTAAATCAAATAAATGATGATTAAGATTCTGATTCAGCTAAATGCTCTCATTTGAAATTACATGTAGCCCCTCCTTGCTGAAACAAGTGTTCCATAGCCTCGATTCTTGCAGTATACTGAAAATATCTTGATACAATAAATAATAGAAATTAGTGTTTTTCTTTTTGCAAAGGGTTATTAAGTGTACCTACAGCGTTTTTATGACGCTATATATTTGTATACAAATTTATCAATGCAAGATGTTGTTTTTTTGCTATTTTACATATATTTTCTAATTACCGTTAGATTAAGTATTAGCCATATCTAATTACCGTGACCATAAAATTTTTAGATCTCATTTACGCGAAAACCGCTTTGAATAATTTGACGCCTTTACGATTGTTAAATTCATACTTTTCATGTGTTTTATATTTAAATGCATTTAAGTCAATTAAGCCAAATTTCAAAAATGATATGGTAATTAGGCTGAGAACGCCTGATCGTGAGAATGACCGTACTATGAGGTCTCACAGTGCGCCTGGACGCTCAGGGACCAGGGCCAGGGTGACATACGAACCAATCACAGAGCTCTATTCAACGCTGTGCGTTTGATTTGCTGCTTCACTTAAGCAAATATCGTTTGTAAATACGGGCGTTAGTGATTTCAGATGCGATAAAGTCATTTTTCAATTAGTTAATCCAGAATTAACAATAATTAGTTGAATTCAATGCTTATTATCACAGGAACTTCACATAAAATATGATTGCTAGGTACCTATCATAGTGTCAGTGAGTTCCATAAGTCCAGTCACTAGTTTATTGGACTAAGAATAGATTGAATCATGTGCAACGAGCACTTGGACGGTTTTTATTGCTACCTGACAAGATAATAAGTACCTATACCTACAAAAGAAAACCAATTCTAAGAAAAAGGTAATAAAATTGGAGCTGCGATCTTTAACTGATATTAAATTAATTAGTATCGTGGGGATAATTAAATTATATCAGCAGTCAATAACCTTCACTTGTGATAAATAAGAATAGGATATTTATATAAATAACAACATTTATAAATAATATCAGATCGTTTATTTGATATCCTTAAAT